TAGGGGCAGGGGAAAGGGACTGGGGTAGTTTTCAGCAGACTGGCTCCAGTATGTGACCAGGAGGAGGGAGAGGACACATGCAGGGGACCCTCCCAGGGAAGGTGAAGCCCTCACCAGAGTGGGAAGAAGAACTAGGGAATGCAGAGACTGGAGGCAGCAGAACAAGCACTCAAGGCTGAAGTTGATCTTAATGCCAGCAACTGCTAACGCTTCACAGTCTCTTAAGAGTTTTACAACCACCTAGTGAAATGAATGTTATTATTTAGCATCAATATATAGGAGAAAACTGAGGCAGACAGGAGATGAGTTAGATTTTACTTAAACTCCCATGACAGTATTCAAATCTGCCGCTGGGTTATGATCTCTAGGGTCCTGGCAACCACAGAACCACTTGTCCCCACACACCCAGCTCTGGCACTGCAGATTGACTGGCTGGCCACTAGGATCCAGCTAGCACAGATGGGGGAGAAAGATCCCCTTCTTTGGGTAAAAACGTGGGACACTGGTGTGTATGTGTAATTGATACAGTGTTAGTGAAGGGGAGAAAGTTGGCCCATGAGAGGCAGGGAAAGGAGATTATATAGCTCACCAAAGCCCAGCCAGTAGAACAGAAAGCACTACTCAGTGCGGGAGTGCCCAGTGGCTGCTCACTTTACTTTCCCAAAAAGGGGTGCTCTGGGAGCTTGAGGATAAACCTGGGAGCACTAGGAGGGGACTTAGTGGCTGGTGTCTCAGCATAGGAGCCTGAAATCCCAGGAACAGCAACACCTACTACCACCACTCGGGTGAGTAAGACCCGCCATCCTGCCCCACACTTGGCTTGCAACACACCCCCTTTGACCCCAGCATTGTGAGGCTCTCTAATTCTTTATCTGAACCTCTGTTGGAGTTTCCCTTATTCTAGAATTCTGGGAAGTCCCTGCCTACCCAAGGCCACTCTGCTGGCCCATGTCCTCCTGAGCAATGGAGAGTCAGCCGCTGGCTTGAAGTGTCTGGAAGCCCAGCTGAGTACATGCACATACCACATGGTGGGCATGGGTTATTGGAGATAAGGTCAACCCTGGGCAAGATGAAAGGGCAGGTGATGAGATTAGGTAAGGGACAGGAAGGAGCCCAGGCACAGACACACAAAGCCCCCTACTGCATAGGTGCTATAGGAGACCTGGCTGCTGCCCTGGGGACTCTGGGCAACCCAGCCCAACCCCTGTCTAAGCCCTGCCAGCCCTCCTGCAACCGTACCCACAGCACCTTGCCTTTAGCCAGGAAGGCCCCTGCCACTGCTCCAGTTCATCTTATGGCTGCTGATGCTATTTGGCACTGGGGCAGTGGACAGTAAGCAAGATAGGAAGGCAGCAGCCACTGTGGGCAGGGACAGCTAGCCCCTAGAGGTGAATGGGAGAGGCAGCTCTGGACAGCCCCACAGCAGCACAGTGGAGCCAGACCTCTGGAGCTCAGATACCCCAGGACAAATTCCTTCACCTGTCTGAGCTACAGTGTCCCCAACTTTGAGGCAAGGACACTAACACAATCTCTCCAAAGTAGTTTTTGTAAAGCTTAAGTGGACTGAAGAGTGCTTGCTACCAAACCCAAGTCTACTTACTGGCCAAGCAAGGGGCCCAGTGAGTGGAAGACAAGCTGTTGGGGTAGGAAAAAAGATTTATTCAGAATACCAACAAGATGGCAGCTAGTTCCCTGAAAGAAACCATTTTAATTCAGCATAGGTTTCAAGCTCCTTTTGGAGTTAGGCAAGAGGGAAAGAGTGGGGCCTGTTTAGGAAAGGGTGGATAGGAGACTTCTAGGTGCCTCTCCAGTGGTCTAGAACAGGTCGTTGTGAGATCTGTGGTGGTCCACATACAATCACAAGGTCATGATCCCTGTATAAATCTTTAAAATAGCTTATTCTTATCATGGTGTCTTTATCCCTGAAGGGAGAGGAGAGAGATTAGGTAAATATTGGGCAAATTGATATGTATTACCAGTCCCAGACAAATATTCCTTAAATGACTAATATATCCACCTACAGAGTTAAAGCCTGATCCAAAGGTTAAAGTGGTGAAGGAGACCGTTACATTATGGAGACAGAAATGCCACACTTTTTCAGTCTGTGTCAGTCATCCAGCGGACACTTCTGCAGGCCCAGGTGAAGTTAGTGCTTCCAGCAAAATATCCTTCACGTCCTGAAAAGTAACCTAGGCAACTATCTTCAGCATAACCCACATGTCAGAGGTGCCACCTGTAGCAAAACTACATGTTGCTCAGCTGCATGACCTCCAAAACTAGTGATTTAATTAATATTGTTATTATTTTAGTGGTACTGGGATTTGAACTCAAAGCCTTGTACTTGCCAGGAAAGTGCTCTACTACTTGAGCCACACCTCCAGTATTTATTTTAGTTTATTATTATTACTATTATTAGCTGTCCTGGAGTTTGAGCTTTGGGTCTACACCTTGAGCCACTTCACCAGCCCTTTTTTGTGATAGATTTTTTTGAGATAGGATCTTGTAAACCATTTGCCTGGGCTGGCTTTGAACTGTGATCCTCCTGTTCGCTGCCTCCTGATTAGTTAGGGTTACAGGCGTGAGCCAGTGGCATCCAGCTCCTGATTTATTTTTGAAACAGGGTTTCTCTGTGTAACCCAAGTTGGCCTTGAACTTTGGATCTTTCTACCTTCATTTGTTGAGTGACAGGTTTACACCACTAAGCCTGGCCTCAAAATAAGTGTTTTGTTTTGTTTTGCAGTACTAGGGTTTGATCTCAGGGCCTCACACTTGCTTCAGCAACCTTTTTTGAGATAGGGTTTCCCAAACTATCTGCCTGGGCTGGCTTTGAACCGTGATCCTCTTGATCTCTGCCTCCTGAGTAGCTTGGTTTACAGGCATGAACCACCACGCTCAGCAAAATTAGTGACTTTTAAAGTCAAGTGGAAGCAGGTGAAGCTAGAGGGTTTATTTAGGTTTTTCCACAGTCCCATGCCCAATACCCAGCAGAAGGCCCTGCAAGAGGAAGCAGGTTGGGGTTTTTCAGACCAGGAGAGGCACAGGCCAGTGCATTCCTTTCCTGACTTTGATATTTGGCATACTCAGGATGGGTCCTGAGTATGTCTAAGAAGTCAGTGATCCTCAGCAAAAGCAGCTTTTAAGTACCTGTTACATGTTGGGGCAGAGACCCTTCTAGTCACCTTCAGTAGAGGCAGAGGGCCATGGGAGCTTCATGAAGACTGTCCCCAGGGGCCAGGCCTAGGTGTCCACCCCAGTCACCCAAATTGACCGTGCTCTTTCTTACTTTCTCTTCCAGTCTAGAGAGCTCTTAGGCACACCCAGGCCACTAGTGGCCTCCTCCTGTGCATGTAAAGGCCTGCTCTTGTGTTTGTGTCTGGGCTGGGAACAAGAGAGTACTGACTGTCCTCCATTCCTGCCCATGGGACCAGTGCTTTCTGCCACCTCAGCAGTGAATGCCCTTGGCCAGCCCACCAGGATACCTGTATTTGACTGGGCTCCCAGCCTGTGAGCTGCCCTTGACCTCTGCTCCCTACTGCGCCGGCCGGGTGGGAGGCACTGTGGACTCAGTCTCTGGCTCCAGCACCCAGGTCTGGAGGCCTGGGGCAAGTCACTTCAAAACTCTGAGCCCAATTAGATATCAAAGGTGAGGGTGAGGTCTCTGGGGAACAAGATCCCAAATGTGATACAAAGAGCCCTCCTGCTGGGCGCTGACCAGGCTAGTGCCTGGGTTGTTTTGAAATCTTGGGGATAGGCACTCTGCCATAGCACGTGGGCGCCTGTGCGGTCTGGGGGCTGTGGCACAGCACTGAAGTAGCTATGAGGTTCTGGAGCAAGGCCACCTGGTTTTGACCAGGCAGGATGCTTCTTAGTTAACTCTGTGTCCTTGGGCAAGTTATTTAACCTCTTTGTTCCTCAGTTTCTTCTCAGAGAAGCAGGATCACACCAACTCCTATCCAATAGGTTTGTGCTCAGAACAGTGCTCCATGGGCACCGGGGAGGAACTCTGCAAATGTTAATTTCACTCATTTTCTTTTAAGGTGTGGTTCACTATGATGTGCAGCTCAGCTGTCAGGTTTTTATGACATTTGACAGACTTCTGGGTGCAAGAAGGGAAAGGCCAATCTTATTCTGGTGGAGAGCTTGAAGCTGAGGGGGGCCAAGTGGGAGGCGCACCCCTCATGTCTTTGCTGGGGTGGACACTGCCATCCTACTATGGGCTTAGGCTTTACCTTCTTTGAAAGTTACTGCCTGCTCTAGGGAGGATGTTGAGTGTCCCTGTTCCCACAGGACAGTGGAGCTGAAGACACACATGGCATCCTTACCCCCTGTTGTTCCTCAGACACGTTGAGCAGGCAGGCAGCAGGGTTCAAAACCTGCGGACATCCAGGCCCGCTCTCCTATAGACAGTGTGAGCTGCCTGTTGTCTGGGGAGTAGAAGGCAGGGCTGCTGCCATTGTGCTAAAGGTAGTGGTATGTGAACTGTGGGGAGATTCCATAGCACCCAGTATGTCTCCGTAGTGTACCTGGTTCCATTTGATTGAACCAGTTCTTGTCTCTGGGAGAGCCAGGGGACACCATGAGTGATGGCGCAGCACAAACACGAAGCATGGCTGAGAGTAAGGCTCATGTTTTATTTGAAGTCATAAAAAAAAGATCAGTTCACAGCAGCATCTGATCTATAGGGTCAGAAGGACCAGAGGGCAGGGCGGGAGGTGAAGGTGCAAGGAGAGACTTACGCCCGGGCTCAGGAGCAAGGAGCGTGGGCAGCCTCAGGGCATTCTGCGCTGGGCACTCCATATGCTGGGCAGGGATGGGATCCAAGGCAGAGGGTGTGTCTTGGGGCCTCTGGGGCCGACTAGTAGCCTTCTAACTTTCCCCACTCTTGGCCTGGGAGAGAGAGTGACCATCACACCCAGCTCCAGGGCCCTAACCCTCAGTGGCTGCCCTGAGAGGGTTACTTAAGGGGGAATCTCACCCAGGAGTGGCTCTGCTCATGGTCCCTATGGCCAGAAGGTCAGAAGGCTCTCTGACAGGCTATGGGACCCCAGGAGGGAAGCAAGGAGTCTGTGGGAGTAGGGGTCCTTACCAAAGAATCCTTCTGGTGTGCCTTGGGTGCCCCCAGCACCTACCTCCTCAGCCATCTCTTCCTCTTTGGCTGCCCGGTCCTCTTGTGGAGGTGCAGGTTGCTCCAGGTCCTCCTACAAGGAAGCAAAGAGGCCATGAGGGCAACACAGAGGCACCCAGCTGCTAGCACCCAGGGCCTTGTTTGTCGTGGCTTCCAGATGAACAGAGGTTTTGCTGTACTTGGATGGGCTGGAGGTGTGTTAGGTGTGGGACCTGCAGTTGGAGCTGGTCTTGTGATGCCAAGGCCTTCTGAGGATACCAAGCATCCTGAAACCCAGCTTCACCCCGAAGCTCATCCCAAGTCCTGGAGTTCCCCCTGGTCAGGTTCCCTGATGAGAAAGCCTGGGTGTGTGGAGGCAGGGTAAGCAGAGGTCCCTGAACCACGTGAGCCCCCACATACCCTAAGAGCAGGGGTGTGTCATCGCTGTTCACAGGGACCCTAGGGCCAGAGAGGCTAGGTATCTGGCTCAAGGCCTTAGTGCCTAAAGCAGCAGGGCTTGCTGTCATTAGGTCCAGCTTGCTCCTGGCCTCCCTCTTTTCCCCAGTAGCATGAGTTCTTCCTGACTCCTGGATGGACTCTGAGCTCAGGCCTGTCTTCTTTTGTTGCCCTGCATATCAGGCCAGCTATATACCTGCCTAAGTGGTTGTGACTGCTGAGATTTCAGGACCAGACTGGTGATTAGCCTGGACTCTGGTCTCAGCACCTACCTGTGGAGGCCCAGCCACATCTGTACTACCGCATGGCCATCCTGGCTTGGTGGAATTGGGCATAAAAGGGCACAACACCACTGTGTCAGTCAGGGTGGGCTGAGGCTCTCTAGGAGACCACCTGCCTAGTCCCACCGCCCCACATGGAGCCCTTGGCAAGAGTGCTCAGACAGCAGGTGCTGAGTTATTCTGTGCTTCACTGTGGGGACAAGTCATGACTGTTCTTTGGGTGTCACCAGAGGCAGGACTTAGCTCTCCTCCAGGATCAGCAAGGGCATGCCTGACACCTGCCCCAGGGTCTCTTTTGCTGTGGGTTGGTGAGGGGCTTTTTGGGGTGCATATGGGTTCTGCCAGGGTGCTATTAATGATTATGACGATCATTGGTGGGGTGCTCACTATGAGCCAGGTAGAACCACTTCCTGGGGTTCATTTTCCTGTTGCTTTCCACAGCTAAGTGAGACAGTCATCCCCATTTCACAGAGGAGGAAATGGAGATCCATAGAGGTTATATAGTTTCTCAAAGTCACACAGTTAGAAAGGGGTAGAGCTGGGGACATACAGAGGGAGCAGCTGGGCACGCCAATGATGAAGAGACCCTGTGCTGGCCATGGAAGCAGACATCTTACACTGCCCCTTCCCTTCCACCCAGCCCATCCAAGAGCCAGGGGCCACAGTGCTGGCTGTGCCCAATCCTCAGACTCCACTGCAAGGGCGGCCTGTTACAGGTATGGGGGCTTGAGGCAGTCAGCCCCCACCCCACTCCCAGATTGGCATCCCATCGCTGCTACCACCTACACTCACAGTCTCGGAGCACGGCCCAGGAGCTGGGCCAGCGTGGGAGTTGGACATGCATGGGAGCCAATGGATAATGGGCACATTACTAATCTCTCTGCACCTTCCCTTCCACACCCTGTCTCCTGGGATTTTTGTACTCATTAAACAAGTTAATAAGTGTAAAACAGAGCTTGTACTGTGGCAAGTGCTGGGACAGCTTACATATTGGACATCTCCCTCCTGGAATGTCCCACCACTGCTGTGCTCCACACTGCTGGTGGCACACACACGCAGGCATACACACACACACCCCTGCTCACACACAAAGGCTGTAGGAGAGGGTGGGGTCAGAGCCCACACTGCTTTTCAACCACCAGGGGGTGCTGATTCTCTGCCAGTCCTGGATGAGGCACGGCCCAGAATGGAAGTTGAACAATGGGTGGTGGTTGTGACTCAGCAGCTCTGGCCTGTTGTCCACTGCCTGGAGGCTGCCTGTCACCCTGTAGGACCCAATTTTCACTTATAAAACGTGATATCTCCTGAAAGATATGGCGCATGCTTGGTTTTGAGCCTCTTCCTTGTCTATATAATGAGCCCCAAATCCCCACTTTGAGGAAGTTTTTGAGAATTCCAGACGTGAACCGATGAAACACCCAGGGGGTGTTGAATGAGAAGCTAAACCAGAACCTAAGTCTTTATGTCCCTGTATGTCCAACGCCTCCCGCCAGCCTCTCTGGCTCAGGGAAAGGATAAGAATCACACTCACCTTGCGGACCACCCCGGTGGTGACCACAATGTTCTCTGCTTCCTCCACTGTCTTGGTGGCCACCGTGTTGACACTGGTGACCACAGCCTCGCTCACAGCATTGGCCTGCTCCTTGGTCTTCTCAGCCACTGTGGGAGGACTCTGGCTGGCCTTGGCCCTGACCCTCCCCACTTTCTAGTCTGCCTGAGTGACAGAAGTCACCTCCCAGGGTCGGGGACCCTCCCTGCCCCCTTTCTGACTTCCAGGGAACCTTTGATGCTGATGGGGGAAACTGAGAAGCCCACCCTCTTCTAGCCTCAGGGGCTGCAAGGGTCTGGGTCCATATAGGATTTGGGACCTCAGATGGCTTAAGAAGGATTTGGATTTGGGCTCATAGTACTATGGTGCAGGAGTGCTGGGGTCCCCTGATCCTGTGGCTCCTCACCTGAGGTCACGCTCTGCACTACATTCTCCTTGGTCTTGGCTCCTGGGGAGGAAATGGAGGTGTAAGCCAGACCCACTGCTGATTTGGAGGTGTCTGGGGCAAACACACTGCAGAACAGCTGGGCCAGCAGGGGGCCAGTAGGGGGTGGGGATGGTGTCTGGGGACAGTAGCCCCTTCAAAGGGATGCTTCCTGCTGTGTCTGGAGGACAGGGATAGATAGGAAGGAGACAGGACAGGATGGGGGGCGGGGGGAGCGGACAATGGAGACCAGGTAGGGATACTGGTGGGCCAAGGACCCAGACCCTGCCTGCGTGTGGCCTGGGCCTTGGAGGCAGCAGCCAGACAGGGACAGGGCCTCTGTCATCAGCTGAGTCATCAGCCTGGCCTTGCTTGCCTCCTCTCCGGAGGAAGCCCAGGAGGGCCAGAGTATATTGGACACTGAGCCTAGGTCCCATCTCCCCAGCCCACCCCTTCCCTCTGGGCAGGGTGGGAACCTGTAGCCTGGCCTTACCACAGCAGCTCCCATTGGAGAGGGTGAGATCTACCTGAGCGCCTGGCTGCTCACAGCTTCAGGATCTCTAGGCTCAGAAGACCCCAGGGTGGGTTCCTGCATGCCTTTGTGTGTGCACACAGGTGCTCAGCTATTTCTCAATTCTGAGTAGCCCTCTAGGACACTGATCCTGTCCTAGAGATATCAGGGAGGTCCTGAGGAGGCCAGAGGTAGACACTGGTGTGCACAAGCAGTCTGGGGACCCCACCTAACAACTAGGGCCTCACTCCTCCAGAAATGCCTCCCTGGGATGGGGGGGAAGTTTAGGGCAAGATAATCAGCATCCCACCCGCCCCGCCCTGCCCCACCCTGCCCACCCTGCCACACTCACCTACATACATGACACCCTCCTTGGTCTTCTCAGCTGCCTCTGTCACTCCCTGCTTGGTCTTCTCCACAGCGCCCACCACACCCTCCTTGGCAATGGAGAAGCCCTTCTTGAAGACGTCCATGGTGGTGGTGAGGATGGGGCTGGACTCTCCTGTGAGCTGGAGCTGGAGCTGGCGGAGTGGTGCTGCAGCCTCGCTGTCTCCACTGCTGCCTCTTATTGACGTGGATGAAATATTGATGCTGTGGTGGCTGCTGGGAGCCCAGCCAACCTAGGGCAGGGTGGGTGCGGGGAGGGCAGGAGGGAGCCTTTCCCCAGGGTAGGACAGCAAGGAGCAGGTCCCAAGCCCCTGCTGGCTCAATTCTGTCCCGCTGACTCCTGTCCTCCCAGGGGTCTGCATGAGGCTGTACACTGTCCCTCATTCATTCGCTGCCCTGCCTACCCACAGGTGACCCTGACTGCGGGCTCTCAGGCCTGGGGCCGTTGTGCCTGTGTACGAGGGTAGATGCCTTGCATCCCAGGTAGGGCAAGGGTCAGGGTCACGCCAGCCTGTCCAGTGTGAGTAATCAACTTTTCAGGATGCCTGGGCTGACCAGCTACCCACAGCATCTTGGATGCCTTAGAACTTGGAGCTCCAGGCAAATCAGTTGGAAGAGCTGGGTAGGGCATCCAAAGGCTTCCCTATACCCTGGGTTCTGGCTGCATGCTATATGATCCAGGAGTGCTTCTTTCATTCTCTGAGCCTCCACCCACCTGCTGATTCCCACAGCCGCCCAGTGCTAAAAGGTGCTGAGGAGGCATGATGTCCCCCGGAGCCCCCATTTCCTGGCCAGCAGTGTGGGTAACCAGCAGGTCCCTTGAGACCAACCAACCACTTCCTGAAGCTCTATCTCAAGAACTGTGCATTTTTCCTGACTTCCAGGGGACAGGTTCCCATGAGGACAGGTTTGGCAGGGCCATCCCATATGTCTCCTACACCACCAATGTCCCTGAGGCAAGTCCTTTTGGGCACAGGAACTGGCCTGAGTGGTTGGTGGCCTCTGTGGGGCCAGGCAGGAGGTGGGGGGCCGGAGGAAACCCATGGAGTGGGCTGGCCCAGGCTACTTCCTGTCTTTGTTGTCCCCATGTTTTCTTTTCCTTCTGAGATTTTTTTTTTTTTTTGGCAGCTCTGGGGTTTGAACTCAGGGCCTCACCCTGGCTGGTCAGGCTCTCTCACTGCTTGAGCCACTCTGTCAGCCCCTCCTTCTGAGATTTAACTTGAGGACCTCATCGCTGGAGTCACTTACGAGGCTGAGCCTGAGCAGAACAACCTAAGCCTGCCCCTAACCAAGATGATCTTGACACTACTGCTGGGCCTCGGGGGGCCACTGGGCTGGGGGCTGCTGGGGGCCTGGGCCCAGGACTCTGGTACCAGGTTCTCCGACCCACACAGTCCCAGACCTCCTGGGACCTGGGAAGTAGAGGCTGAGGACACCAACAGAGACCCCACTGGACGGTAAGGAGGGCTTACACCTTGGCAGAGGTCACATGGTAGTATCTGTATCCCAACTCAGCCAGAGCAGGGCCTCTCTGGGCCTCGGCTACCCACCTGTGAAATGGGCCAGTACTATCTATCTGCTGGGCCAGCTGTGAGGCTGACCAAGGTGCCAGGTATCCTTCAAGGGTCCTCCCCCAGACAGCCTGGATTGAGCACTCCAGGGCATGACCTGAGAAGGATAGCGAGATCTTTGCATAACCCATAATCGGAGAAGGGCCTGCTTGGGCAGGGGGTAGGGTGTGGGGAGGATGGCAGCTCCTACCATTAGCCACCCAGCATGGGGCTCAGAGTAGTAGTTCTGGATGTTTCCAGTTGGCGAGGCTGTTGCTCCTGTTCATCAAAGTAAATCAATTCTGAAAGCTGAACCCAGCAAGGCTGGCCCAGCCTAAGCCCTAGGGGACAGCCACTCTTGAGGCTGAGATTTTGACTTGAGGCCCAGGGAGCCTGGCTGTGATTACTGAGTTGTGAGCAGAGAGGGCTCCATGTTCCTCAGAGCACAAGGAGGCAAGACATCCAGAAAGCAGTGCCGTGGAGCCCCTCTAGAAAACAGGAGGGTTTTGCAACAGGACTCAGGCAACCAGTTTCTGACGTTCTGTTTATGCAGGACCGGGAACCCTCCTGCTCATAGGTCCTGGGCTTGCAGGTCCCCTCTCAGGGTCTGAGGCAGCCCTGAAGCCACATGTGAAATATTCCTAAGAGCAGCAGGTGCCACTTGTCCTCTGCCCAGCCCCTGGATCTGCCACCTTGCCAAGTATTTGTTGTCTCTGATAATTGTTGGAGACCTGGCATGAACAGATAATCTCTCCAACAGCCCCATTTACAGGGGAGGAGCCCAAGGCTTATTTTTTTTTCATTTATTCATATGTGCATACATTGTTTGGGCCATTTCTCCCTCTGCCAAGTCCAAGGCTTAGAGAGGCTGAGCAACTTGCTCCACATCACACAGCCAAGGAGAGCTGGGACAGGGTCTGAGGCTGACCTGGGAGTTCACACCCAGCCCTCTGGGAAGGGCATGAGGCAGTCTCCCCATTGCATGTATGAGAGGAATCATAGAGGGGCTCCCGGTGAATTTACCTGGGTGAGGTCTCATTCAGCTTCTAGGTGAATGTCTGTTGGGCACTTTTCCCAAGGCAGAAGTGGGGGTGGGGGGTGGGAGGGTCAGGGGGCGGGGAATAAATAGTATATAGCAACCCTTAGTGAGGAAGGGGCTGGCGGTGTGAGCAGCAGTGGCCTGAAAAGTCGGATATGGAGAGTCCCCATCCTGCCCTGTCTCCAGTTCTCTGGGCTGGGAGACACAAGTTGGGGGAGTCCAGTCACAAGCTTGCTCAGATTTCAGGACCAAGGATCAAGACTTCCCATCCCCAAGCTATCCACTCCATGCCCCAGTCTCTGGGCACCTCCCTCCATTTGATAAAGGGGAGTATGAAGGGACTTGTGGGGACAGGAGGAAGGACCTTTTGCTCTTCTTTCTCCCCTCCTCTTTGGTTGTGGAGAGAGACCAGGCATTTCCTTATCCCGGGAGCCAGACTTTCCCTGCTTTTTCCTGGCTGCTCTCTGCATGGCAGAGTATGAGCACTAGTGTACCTGGCCCAGGAATGCCCAGGCATCCCAAGCCTGGGGCCCCCGCCTGCTGGGGCTCCTTCCTACACCCCCAGAAGCTGCAGACCCCACAGGCCAAGTACATGTGGTCAGAGCATCCGGAGGGGCTGGTGAGAAAGGAAGGAAATGCTGTGATTTCCTGGGCTGATTGCTTCCCGTGCTCCTGTGACTGGGGAGGCGGAAACACTGCTCCCAGCCCCTCCTACTGCATGGGAAGGGGAGAAATGGTATTGTCCAGCAGCAAGAGCCGGGGCTGACATCATCAGTGACCAAGCCCCTGCTGCCAGAGCCCTCCTGTCTGGCACTTGTTCCTCACTTGCTTCCAGAGCTCCAGACACAAGGCAGGTCCTGGACACAGATTTGGATAAGAGCCTTTGGAGGGACAAGCTTGGACAGAAAACGTGATGCCCAACACCCTTGTTCCCATACTGCGAGGTCCCAGGGTGGAGGAGGGACATGGTTAGTTACTTCCTAGATCCTTGGGGACTTTGCGAGCCCAGGGAGCCGGCAGCATGAATATTTGGACTCCACAGGGAAGAGGATCTCTTTGGCTTGGGTGGGGAGTTTAGACTTTGGGCTCCTCAGATCCAGGTCTAACTGCTCCAGTGAGACTGAGACTATGCTGAGTCTGGGCAAGGTGTCACATCATGACAAGGTTGGGGATACCACTCAGGGCCTCTTAAGTGATGGGTCATGGCTAGGATCTACATCTGCTGAGTGGCAAACCCCAGGGGTCCTCAGTCCTGTCCTTCCTCCCTCCCCCCTCCAAGGGCTGGGAGTGTAGAGGACATTGGTCCCACCAGCCAGCTGGCACTGGTCACCAGTGTCAGGCTTCTCTTAATAGGAGGAGTGTTTGCGATTTTTGCAGCCAAGAGCCCAAGGTCCAGAGGAGTCCACAGGGAGGAGTGTCACTGGAGGTCATAGGGAACAGGGGTATTGGAACCCAGGCCATGGTCTCTGGACTACACTGTGCCTCTACTTGTTTCTGCTTCTGAGCCCTGGGGCCCCAGGGCAGAGCCCCTTTGGCTAGGGCAGAGGCCTTTATGTCACACTCAGGGAACCCCAGATCTGAACTGGCCACAGAGTGGGCCTCAGGCTTCTTTGCCGGGTTCCCTTTGACTCAAGGACAAAGCCCTGTGAGTGTCTGTCCTGGGATGGCCACACTAATGGATTCAGGCCTCAGAGAGCAAGACTGCTGAAAGCACACTCTCCACCCCCAGGAAGACGTGAGGCACTGTCCCTGGCGGGTTCGTTGGCTGGCTAAGAGGCACTTAAGCACTCTGGCCAGGCAGCAGCCTGACATTCATTATGCAGGAAATGCTGGCTCTTAGTCCTTCCCTGCTAGAGGGTCTGTCACCCTTTCCTGTATCTCGTCTCAGGGTCAGCAGCTCCTCCTATCTGTGACCAAGCATCAGTTTGGGGCCGTGGGCAGGTCCACACCAGGCTGGGGGACTCCATACTTACTATGGGAAGGCATTTGTCCCTCAGTACACCTTTGAGAGATGGAGGTACCCTCCCCAAGGGAGAGTACAAAAAGGGAACAGCCTGGGCAGAGGGGTGGTGAGAACAGTGGAGTGCTTCAGCTTGTGGGGCCTGGGGTTTGGGTGCTGAAGGCCAGCCACTTGCTGTCCAGAGCTGTAGGAAACCAAAGCAAAGGTCAGGAATGTTCCCAGGCCTTCTGGGCCAACTGCATGGACTGTGCCAAAGGAGGAACTGCCAAGGGTGGGGAACGTGGGCTGGCAAATAGTGGCTGCTGGAGCCCAAGGTTTGGGCAGGTCAGAAGAGAAAGTCCAGGGCAGGAAGGGTGGGCAGCACCATTTCTGGTTAAGAGCTGGACATGGAAAGTCCTGCTCATTCCTGGCAGGTTGGACCAGGCACAGCCCTTCCAGGCCCTGAATTGCAGTTGGGAGGGTGTGTGAGCAATGGAGATTGTTTGGATGGGTGTTTCTCAGCCTTGGCACTCGCGGCATTTTGGATTGAAGAGTTTCTTGTTGAGGGCAGAGGGCTGTCCTGTGCACTGTGGGGTGTGTAGCAG